TGCCCGGGTTTTAAAATAGCAGTCTGCGAGTCCCAAGCCCAATGAGCAAAACTTTTTAACTAAGGAACTTTGCCTTTGGTTCACCCTCGGAGATTCTGAGGTTTCGTGTGTGGTTTCCAAGGAAAGTCTAACACTATTGGGGGGGGGGAGAAAGAGTTATTGTAAGCTGGCATTCAGTTTTTCCTTCTGTTTAAATCTTTCAAGTAAGCAACTGCCTGTTATGAGAAAGTACAGGAAACACATGCATGTAATAAGCAGTGGTTCCCTAAACTTATGTAGTAATCACCCACTGTATGTTGTGCTACTTAATTGAAAAAATTTTTTTTTTTTTTTCAATTTAAATGTACATGTGGTTTAGTAACAGATTAAATTATCTTCATTGACTGTTTTGAAATTGAATTTAAAAGTGAAGGGTCTTTGATCTCGCTAGTTATATATATATATATATATGACAGTTAATGGGTGATACCTTTGGGATCACTACAAGAACAATTTCTCCTACTGTTGATCCTAGTTGACTTGGTCATAGTAGTTTATCCTGGTCTCAGTTTGGCCGACGGTGGAGGATCACACAGAAGTGACCACATATGGTTACTGCCAAGAAGGAAAGGAATGGCAGACTACCTTCTTTAAGATTCCCGGGTTGATCGTGAACTCAATTGGTATATAAGGCAAAGAGGTAGCTTGGTAATGTGGATGAGACCAGAAAAATCATTGACTTGATCTAGGATTAAGGCGATTGATTATGTGAGGTGGTGAAGCATAGATGCCAGGATTAAGGCGATTGATTATGTGAGGTGGTGAAGCATAGATGCCAACACATACTTTTTTAAACAGAATGTTTTGTGATGATGGTGATGATCTATAAGGCTGCCCTTACATAGTGAGGCTCCAATAGCTTCCACAGTTTGATTCTTGTAACACTATAAAGAAACATAATAATGATATATACCGTATGTAATAAATGTTAACATTCACAATGCAGGTCCAAAACACAGACCAGGAGTTTCGAGTTCGCCTGGACCTTGGTAAAACATTCACACCTGATGACGTGAAGATAACTACTACTGACAAGCAGTTATGTATCCGCGCCAAACATGAGGAGAGGCCAGAGAAAAATTGCACTGTGTGTCGAGAAATGACTCGCATATACACTTTGCCACCGGTAAGTCTTTATTTTGTGTTTAGTTTTAGAGAGGAAGGAAAATGACTTTCTAACAGATGGAACATCAAGGAAAATGGATCATAACATCTTTTGTAGGGTCACAGTCAGTTGGAAAGAAAAGTGGCCAAGGGCACAGTTAGCAAGAGGGGAGGGGCAGGGTCCCATAAGCATGGTGAAGTATATCTGCCAACCTTTGAGGCAGACATGGGAGAATATTAAAACTTTCCTGGGAACTTTGAAATGGCTGCTGGACTGAAGAACCAGTGGGGGGGGGGGTGACTTTGATTGTAGTAACAGCACAAGGATGAGCACAGGACATCAAAACACATTGGGTATGAAACTGCATGAGGTGGGAGAGCTGGAGAAGAACAGTTTCTTTCAAGCAAGCGAGCAATGATGGGAATGATGGACTGTGAAGCACCTTCATTTTGAAGTTTTTCTTTTTATTCTCACTTTCCAGTTTCTCACTTTCCAGTTTATAGTCATTACAAAATGCTTAACAGTTATAGTGATGGGAAAGATCTTGATTTTTTTTTTTTTTTTTAAAACGTATACTGAAAACAATGCTGCTCAGTGGAGATAGGTGCTTATCAAAAGAGATGTACAGCATTGTGATCAACTAGGCTTTGTATATCTCCTGGTCATGTTGTGCTTACCTGACCCAGTTTAATACACTAGAGCATTGACTGCATATATCTGGATTCCCACTGGTCAGGATTTCTGTGGGGGTGGGGTTGTGATTCTTCACTGCTGAGATGTTAGGTTTTTTAAATCATTTAAGATAACATTGTAATCAATCATTTGATGCAGTTTTCTTGCAGACACATTCATATTAACATGATGCAATCCCTCAATATTTCAACACCACAAACCCGTTTCATATAACCAGGGATGCTTGCGTCTGCCCTGGACATTTCTGCTGCCTGGCAATACTACCTGTAGGTTGATTTCGGATACCAAGTTCTTTGTAGACTTTGTCCGTGACAATGCCATGTTTAGGATTATTGAGAGATCATTGTGCTGTCTGGTCCTGTCTTTATTGGTTGATTATGTATTGCCTGTAAAACTTGTCCTTTTGTCTTATCTGTAGCTAGTATTCTACTTCCTGAATCCTGCAGGTGCATTATTTGACCTGTTGCGTTTTTGGTATTGTGTTAAATTATGTGGCATTTTCTCCTGGGCTCAAAACCGTTTGCTTGTTCTTGCCCTTTTCTGCTAATATGGTGAACTGAGGTGAATAATGAATATTACAACACTTGCCAAATTCCCACCAGCACCTCATCCACTTTGGCAGCACATTCTAATTCCAGTAATAGTCTAATTGTACATTGTCTGTTGTTAGCCGGCTCCCCCCTCATCACTTCCTGCTACACCATTCTCTTCAAACATGTCCTTAATATGTTCTGCACTGTTCACATTCATCCAAAGGCTCATTGTGACATTTAACTTGTGTATTAATTTACGAGGTGGTGTAGAACCAGTTAGTCTTGTCCTCTCTCTGTGCCGTCCAGATGATATGCAAAGGCAGACAATGAGTTTATAAACTAAACTGGTAGCACATTTGAGTTTGGGGGGAAATGCATGGTCTGTGTCCACAGCTTTTTGAGAAGCCAGGTGGTTTACAATATTGTAGCATGTATTTTTTAATTTTTCATTCTTCAGGATGTTGATCCAAAGGAAGTGACCTCTACAATGAACAAAGAAGGTGTGTTGTTCCTCAAAGCAGCCAAGAAATCACTGGAGACCAAAGAAGTCCCAATCGCTGTGGAATACAAGGGCTGAATGTTCTAGTGGAGGTTAGATACAGGGGTGGTGTTGTTTACATTACTGCAGGCATGCGGTTTTACTGTGTTGTAGTGCCACAAGGATGTTGAATCCTTAATTTTCATGTTCAACTTTCTTTATTTTGCAAATGAACATGTAAGTGTTAATTTTATTTTCTATAGATGAGCATTGAATTAATGCTTACCAAATATTTTGTATGTTATCATGGAACTGTATTCCATGTTTTTTTTTTTTCATTGTTTTGTAATTTGTGAAATGTTTCAGCTCAGACATAACTGTTTTTTTACCTTACAATTGAAACATCATTTATATCTCTGTCTACATAAACAAAGATGTGCCATCCTTTCTGTGTGTGTGTGTGTGTGTGTGTGTGTGTGTTACACTTGAGTGTGCATGCACATGTACTACTCACAAGCCACTTGCAAACATACATGTGTACAACATACATGTACACACACATACATGTACACACACATACTCACACACACTCTCACACAGAGAGCAATAGTGTACTAGTCCCTGCATGTGTACAGACCAATGGACCAATGCTGTACTAAATAAAAGATGAGTTCCCACCTGTGTTGATGTACAAACTGAAGCATTGTGCATTGTATGTAGCCAGTGGGTTAACTGCAAGTACAGTTATGGTAGTCCTGCCTAATCGATCATTCCTCACTGTCTTACAGCTTGGGCATAAGAACTGATGGACATACGGAATAAAGGCATAAGGAATAAAGGCATAATTGTGATATCCGGTTCACTTTTTTAATTTCAATACATAATTTCTTAGAACTTGCTTTTTCTTCTATTAGCTTGGTAGGTTGGAAAATTTGAGAAATTTTTAGGACTTTATTTTTTTAAATTTGTGATTGGACAGTTTATTTGATCCAAAGGTATTTTTATTGACTTTGAATACATCTTCTAGTGTCTGAAAGAAGGATGGAAAAATATTTTAAGATTTTCAATAAAACATGTATTTTGTCCATCGATCAAGCAATGTAAGGGGAAAAAAAACATAAAAATTGTCACACTGAAGCTCCTTTTGTTTGGTTTTTTTTTTTTTTTAATGAATAATAAATTTACATTCAAAATTTCAAGACATTTGAGTTAATATGTATTCACTGGTTTTTTTTTGTTTCACACTACACATTTGTGCCACAAAATGGCTGTTTTGTACTTTTATACCTATAAATGTGTAATTATGGATGTCAAGAGGTGGTTGTGTTGCTGGTAAGCAGATTTTGACCCCATGCTTTTCAGAGGGTAGTGTGCCATGTGGAGAAATGGAAATAGCTTCCTATTGTGACACCATCAGGAAACTGGACAGCTTGATGGAGACTGTTTCGCTCAAGCAGTGTGGTCCCTCTTTGGTCTGCCTTAATTCTGGAGGCAAGATAATATTAAATGTTTTAAAATTAAGCATTCTGAGTAAGAGCAAGTGGCGCTGGCTTCGTGTTGGATCTTTTTTCTGAGACCAGCTGACAAGAAGGTTTACCTTTACAATTAATTAGAAGCTATAAAATACAAGAGATCTCCCTCCTTGTCTGTCCACGTTGTTTATTACTAATGGAGACTGCAGTATCAACTTAAGATTGAATGGGATATACTGGGATTTCTTATATATGGGTTTCTTCTCATCCTTAAGGTGTAAATCCTGTGGATTACAATTGTGGAGGGGACAAACCTCAGTATTACTGCAGTGTGGCTGCTGATTGTTTTATGGAACCTGCTACAGAATCAAACCATGTTCAACAATCACCAACTTCCTTAGGAGTAAGTCTTGAACATGTTGCCAGTTCAGGGGAAAAAAAAAAACTACCAATTATGGGGCTGTACTACATCATAGGGTCATATTCAAGATGTATCGGGTGCTCAATATGGGGTAGTGCAACATGTCTGTTCTTCATACATACTACATGTCTTCACCTGTCTGTGGTCATCCTAGAAACATCTTCCTGCATTGAGGCCTGGCTAATGCAGACAGGATTATTTCTTTAGTAATCAAAGTACATCTGTCAGGGGTGAGGAGCCAAGTGTGCTACAGGGATGGGCCCACTGGGCACTTGCTCTGCCCACGAGTTCAGGAGCCCTATACTGGTCAGGAATAAAAAAGTGATTTGCTATATCCATCCTCATCATTCCGTAACACTGTGTTGTTGTTGGGTCACCAGTTTCTGTTGACTGTTTGATCAGCTCTCTCCACCTTTGGCAGTCAGTTGTGATGGACTTGCATGGTTGTATGCCTGAGGCCTGTCCAAGTAGTCAGATTCTGTAACCAGGTCTTTCTTGGTCTGCCTCTTCTCCTCTTTCCCTCTACTGAGCCCTGCAGCATTGTTTTTGCGAGGCTGTTAGATCTTTTAACATGTCCATACCATTGCATTTTTTGACTTTTCACTAGTTAAAAGAGGTTTATAGTCGCCAATAGCTTGCCATATACAGGGACTTGTATTTTGCATGCCCCTTAATTTTTACAAATTTCATGTATGCCATATACAGGTAGTAATTTCATACTCTGCCATCTAATCTGTATTTAATGTAGGTTTAGTTGATGTACTACTAAAATGTTGGTGTTTGTGGCTTAGGCATTGCGAATGCACTTTGTTGTGCCAGGTTCAATACCAGCTGCAGGCCTTGCACATTGTGTTGGATTCAACAGTGGTATCAGAAAGGCAACCATCCCAAAAGCAGTGGCAAACTACTGGAATAAACTTGCCTAGAAAAACTACAACGGCAAAAATAGCTGGGGTTTGTTCTGCAATGTCCTGTAAATAATACACTACTAACCACTAAAATAACTAATGAAAAATAAGGTACATTTTATTCCTGTGAGTGGTTGTCATAAAGGGGCCTTAGTGCACTGGTTTGCATTTGGACCCATTCTGCTGTTAAGACAGCTCTGCAAGTGTGCACACCAATAAGTGAAATTTGTAAAATGAATAGGCGTGCAAAAATACAAGTCCTTGAACAAGATCTAAATCCAGAATTGGATGAACAATCAGAACGTTGTCTGTGTTCACAACCAATGAACATGAAGTTGCATTCACAAACATCCACTTGTGTTAGGAATAAAGTCGCATTCACAAACATCCACTTGTGTTAGGAATAAAGTCGCATTCACAAACATCCACTTGTGTTAGGAATAAAGTCGCATTCACAAACATCCACTTGTGTTAGGAATAAAGTCGCATTCACAAACATCCACTTGTGTTAGGAATAAAGTCGCATTCACAAACATCCACTTGTGTTAGGAATAAAGTCGCATTCACAAACATCCACTTGTGTTAGGAATAAAGTCGCATTCACAAACATCCACTTGTGTTAGGAATAAAGTCGCATTCACAAACATCCGCTTGTGTTAGGAATAAAGTCGCATTCACAAACATCCACTTGTGTTAGGAATAAAGTCGCATTCACAAACATCCACTTGTGTTAGGAAATAATAGTCGGCTGCTGTTTCTCTGCCATGTGTGGTTGATTCTCTAGCTCTCCTTTATCTCAGGACTATCAATTTTCAAGCACTGTAAGGATACCTCAGTCTGCAACTTGGCAATAGATATCAATAGATAGATGGCTTACAATGAATCTACCTCATTGTGCGGAAATATAGCTTTTTTCCTTTTAACTTTCCCTGCAGAGCATATAGCTGTTTTGGAACAGAGCATGCATATGCAGTTTATATGGCAACCACGTAAGGATCTTAGGAAATCTGCTCCCTGTCAAAATGGTCACTGTTTTTAGTCAGCAGAAATTGTTTGCCTCTGACAGATGGTGGCGGTCACATTTTCGTCCAGTTGTAGACTGAAGTGAAAGGACATAATTGTATCATCCAGTTATTCATTGAGTGCATGACCTGACACTGTGAGCTGCTGATATCATCTGGAATATTTGTCAACTATGACCAATATGGTGTTGTGAACTGTAGATTAAGAAAATGCTGCGTTGCCTGTTGTCACATAATTTGTGGTGCTTAGTGTGATTGCGCGTGCAACTGCTGATCTGTTTGTAACTGCCATTTCCGTCAATTATGAACTGCTTTTCTAATGTCAGACTTTGTGTGTTAGTATTTCTGATGGCTGCCTTATGCTTTTAATGCGTGTGTATGCTATTGCTTATTCTGAGACTGCAGTCTTTGTCAGTTCTTCCACAAGGGACAGTGATTGACATTCCATGTGTTTTTTCATTTACACAGGAGTGTAGCCAAGATGGAATGACCCGTCTGCTGTGAAGCTGAAACTATCCCTAACCAACAAGAACTGCAGGGTGCCGCTTCATTTTTTAATTCTGTTGCTACTGCTGCTGCCATTTTTGCCCTTGTCTTCTGCATGACCTTCTTTCCTGGGGCGTTTGTCTTTTTTTGTGTGTGTGTGGTCATCTTTGCTTTATGCTATATTTATCTTTGCTGTTATCAAAATGTTCATATTGTCTTCTTTTCACCTTCTTCTATGCAATTTCTTCATTGTCTTTGTGATTGTTAGGTTCTTCATCTTCCCTTTATTTTATTTTCATTTTTTATCTTCTTTTTTAGTCTGCTTTTCCAGTTTATTTTCTTTGTTACTTTTATTCATTTTCATCTACTGACCTTGGAGGACCAAAAAAAAAAAAAAAATAATTAAAAAGTGAATACACAATATGGCAAATTGCTCAAGCTGTTGCTTCATACTCTTAAATCTGTCGGCTCATTTCATACTGTATGCGTGCAGAAAAGCCCTAGGCCACAGACGATATACCTGGCGCCACAAAACAGATCTGAAAGAGTTAAAAGACATGGGGACTTTCTAAAGGTTAAGTCAACAATGACGAATACGCTCCATTAGTACCTGACTGCGAGCTGAGAATACTGAAGAAGATACAGAATTTGAATCCCATTTGAAATTAGAATTCATTTATTTATGTGTTTTTTTCCCCAGCTGGCAAAAGCATCAGTTTGACCCAGGATAAAAGTTCAATCATCTAATGATTACCTAACTCAGAATCAGATATTGACCACATCACTCATC